TTTGTTAAAAACCTTAGATTCAACAAGTTTTGTTAGATGATCTAACATCAGTGTAGATTTTACTGCAGCTGCATTTTAAAGTTGAAACTGCTGCGTATACTGCTTATTTTATTTCATTCTAATTATTATATTTCTTTTGCTTAATATATGTCAATGCAGTTTTAATTGGCAGACTTGTCATTTCTTTCTACTTTACCTTTCTTTCGCATTAGTCTTAATCATATTTTACTGGATACGAGGTTCGAACTTTAACACTTTAAATACTTTATTTGTGATGTTATGCACATTGCATATATAAAATTTTACTTCCCCGCCTAATTTTAGCGTTAATTTTAGCGTAATTATTAGGAAAGTTTGTTTGCTTGTATCTTTTTTAGTTCGCTTGTATCTTTTTTAGTTCGCGTACATTTAAGAACGAAAAATTATAGTTCTTCAAATATTCATTTTCTGTATACTTATACAGCGATCTAAAACGTGGCTGCTCTAGAAAGTAAGTGTACGAAGCTGTTTGTTGTCTTTTCTTTGGGAATCTCTTCTTAAAGTATTACTTTTATTTTTTACTCTATTCCTATTTTAGGTGTTACATTTAAGATCTTTAACTTATCACCCTTCTAGTGGCATATCAATAAATTACCATCCGCCTAATACAATCAGATTTCGACTTCCATACACAAGTTGACTAGCGAAAGAGTCAAACTCATCTCGCTTCGTTCAAGCTACGTTACATGAAATGGCACTTACCTTTTCCACGTAATCGTGTTTCGTACAAAACAGCTTAGTAGCCGAATGTAAATTAGAAGTTCTCAAGCAAGGTTCGGGATCTATAAAGGGACCTGCCAAAAATTATCGAAATTCGCAAAAGCATTACGAAGATATTATTTTTAGGAATAATTAGAAAACTGAAATGTAACCTATAAAATTAATACTAATTTTTTATGGGTCTTCATATTGTAAAATTTTTCAATACTTCATTTTTTTATTTAATCGTATGCGCAGTAATAGATATGCAAATTACTATTAAAAGGTACTTATTTATTTTTAATAAATATGATTTAATATTTTATAATTTTTTCAGTTTTCGATAAACTGCGTCTTTCTACAAAAGATAGATTCCCGAGTAGTTTATTCGGATAAAAATAGGTGGTGAATGAAAAGTATTTGAGAAAATCAGAGGAAAATGTTAAAACCAATCATTCCCCCCACACACACAGAAAAAAGCTTTTATAGTTATAAGCTATAGCATATTCTAAAACAAAAGTGTTACTTCAAAATATATTCTCTTTGTCTTAATAAATTACGGGTAATAATTGAGGTACATTTATTAAGATTTTTACATACAATGAAATGGGAAATGGAAAACATATACCTTTTTGAGAAGCATATGCTATCATAAACGAGGCATCAGGTAATCTCCCTTTAAACAAATAATTGGTGTTTTTCTTAACAGAGTATCTTCTTTTCAGTTTTTTAGCAATCCTGATAATAAATGATGGTGGAATTTCGATGTTATGTGTAAAACGTACACCGAAATGATAACACTGACTTCTAATTAAATAAGATGAGTAATAAATGTGAATAAAATATATTAAACAGTTTAGAGTCTTTTATATTTAATGTTATGGGAAAATTAGTTATTTTCAAATTATGATTATAGTATTATGTTATTAAAATTTAATAAGATAAATACTGAATTCTGGAGACATATCTTATATTTAAGTAATATTTACTACTTTGAACTTCCTATTGAATATTAAAAAACTGTCAGTTTAATGCTAAAGCAATAAGTGAGTGAAATAGTAATTGTTCAAAGTGGTTGAACTGATTAATATCCAGACATCAAAATCGAATTTCCTTTCACCTAAGAAGGATCTTAGAGTGCGTTTGATTGCTCTTGTAGCTTCATAAATACAAAAATAATTAGATGAATTGTAATCATAGTTTTTTATCACGTGTTAACTATTTCTAAAATAAAGTTTAAATTATGTTTACATGTTTTGAAATAAGTTTTACACTGCTTTTTAACTTTGAAGAAAATTTGATTCAATTCTTAAAAAATTCTAATAATTGTACAACTTATTTCAATTCTGCTACTTTAGGTACTTTGAAAACTAGTAATTTCCAGTCAGAGTTAATCAAATTTATTTCTAGCAATTCAATGCAATTTCAGGAAAGAATTTTAAAAAGCATATATTAAGGAGATTTTGTAAAAAGTATTTGGATTCATTTGCTTTCCCATTCGAGGGCATTTCTATCCGAATCCATTTAGCGAAGAAGCTTGAAGCTACAGAAGTGGTTTGTAGATACTTCTTCAAATTGGGTAAAACGCCTGGGTAATAAGAAGATGCCACTATTATTCTGCTGCATTTACTGTTAATAAGGAAGTGATATACGATGTCAAATATATCGAACGCATTTCATTTACCTGGGCTGCTTTCTATGAATGACAAAATCATTTTAGCAGTATTAGTGCTTTTGAAAAATGCTCCGTTCTCATTTCTTATTTTCTGTCAGAAAGTTTTTAAAACAAATTTCCAATACATTCATGACGTTAGGATTGTAAAGAGAAATATACATTTGCGTCATCAAAACAGAAAGTTTCTTTCCACAGAAGGTTGCACATATTCGTTTAATTATAATTTATTTATTTATCTGGATTTTATATTTCAAGCAGTTGATGAAATTTTTGTAGGAAAATTCGTCTTGAAAAAATCTGTTTTACACCTCCAAAAACATTGAGCTCAAAGTAAAAATTTTATTGCAAATAGAAATAAGTTAAAAATTAAGCTCAAAGTAAAAATTTTATTGCAAATAGACCTGCTTCCTTTAGTTCAAATACTATAACTTCTAAATAAATTAAAGCGCTTATTTACAAATAAAAATTTCTGCTAGCATATTTGTGAAACTAATATCATAATTGCTCGTCGAAATCAGAATACCGGCGTTTGTCTGATTTCTAACCTAGGCATATGGCTGGCTGTATGATTGGTTTTTGTAGTTTTCCCCAGGTGTTGCGCGAATTTGTAGATTCATTGGGTTATATCGAAGTGAGGAAACTGAAGAAATATGCAATGCCCTTACAGGGATTCGAACTCTCGACCTCCTGATAACGCGTCGAACGTGTTGTCTAGTTACACCACGAAGGATCCCTGGCGCATTCGGAAAAGAGGGAGAAAATATCTTATAAAGTCTCTGCGAAGGCGTGCCTCCTATTAGGCAGTTACTTTGTTACCTAACAGCGCGCCATAAGGAGTCAAGCATCCGCGATAAGTGAGCAAAGGGCGCTGTATTAACTGCAACTGTTTTCTCAGTATTTAAATGGTAACAGGGAGTTATGCTGCTGCAGACTGCACTCTTACACTCAATGGACAAAGATTATATACGTAATAATAATATGCAAAACAATACTGTAACATACAACAGGATATAGTAATGTAAATAAACGATAGCATACAACAGAATTCACAATAGAATACAATATATTAAGTACATCACATACATACAGGTAATGCATAATGAGTAAATACAAAGCAATTCAAAATCTAATCCGGTTATGCGCTGATTGCTACACCAATTAGTGGTAAAATTGTAAATAAAAATAAAATATATGAATCCATCCCGTATTCAACCCAAAACATACCATTAGAAAAAGTATGTCGACAAACTGCATGAAAAGGTGCAAAAATAGTGTAAACCAAAAATGGAAACAGTAAAAGAAAAAACGTTATTTACATCCTTCACCACATCGTCGTCAGGAGGTTGGTGTAACGAAAGAAGTAAATGAATCAGCCTGTTTCTGACCTGATAATGACAGAAATTTACAAATTAGAGTTCAGTATTTCAACTTACCATAGAAAACTAATCTTAGAAGTTTATGCGTTTATGAGTTCAACCTCTTACAGGATGGAGTGGATAGAGTAAAACTGCTCTTTTTCAAAGGGAACCAAAAGTGAAAGCAAACATCAAAATTATAATTTTTTTTTAAAAATTAAGTACAATTTTTCTATTGGTATGCTCTGGGTTGAATATGGGACGAATTAAACTATCTTATTTTTATTTATATAGATATATAAGTAAATTAACAAACTCTTTTCTTGATAATGCTTAAAATGCTAATTATCCCAGAATAAATGGATGTGTGGGAGTCGCGAGACTAAACATTGCCACATGTCTAATGTTTAAAATTCATTTTATAAATATATTTTTATTCTGTCTAAACGATTTTTCCGTCCAGAAACCTTACATGCGGGCTGAACGACGAAAACATACATGTAGCACCCCTTTCGCTAAGGATTCGTGCTCGAAGAACTTCTGCCTCTTGTCAACTATCAGTGTCTAGCGTCCTTACCTACTCGAGGTGAGCGACTATTAACGAAGCTCCAAAGGAATTAGCACTCCCTGCAATCAAAAATTAAAAGTAGATCATGTTAAAAAATCATAGCCTCATTATCCTTAGAAGTATCCGGAAACACCATTCATCAAATAAAAATTAATTTAATATTTTCGCTTTTAAAATATAGGAAATCGATAGCAAAAACTCTCAAAAATACGAATTTAGAATAGATGAGGAGCATTTAAAGTCGCGCAGAATTCTCTAAACTCAAAAATCAAATCAAGTCTTGCTCAATTAAAAATTTTGCTCTCTTTTTGATACATCATTCGGAACAATCGCAGTTCAGTTAGAGTGAGATTGAAACGATATAATTCAAAACAAACTCAGAATTAGGATATCTGACGCATATGAGATTTTATCTACGTAAATTTGATAAAGAATGAGAAAAATTGCTAATAACAATGCAGCGTATTATTAACTTGCATTTATCGAATTCTAATGAGCCGTATTTTTGAAGAAAATATGAAAGCTTTGTATGCTTAAAAATGAATGTATAGACCTGATGAAAGGCCTATTCAGATACAATTGTTTTGTTATTATATTCATATTGTACCTTTACAAAAGAAACTGTTTATTTTCACTAATGAATAAATTAAAATGTTTTAAACAGGATCATCCGACCGGATATAATAAACTATACAGACGCACAGAGGAGCCGAATTGTTTGGGAAATACTCATCAGAACGCCACATCACGGGGACGGCAGGGCAAGCACTGGTAAGTGCTCTTTAAAGTATTCCATTCAAAAGCCACCTTTTTTTGCCGTTATCTAGTACGAACTTCTCAAATAATGAGGCAACATTTTACGTAAATGCTTTTCAGAAACTAATGCAACAACTTTTCGAAATACAACACTTTTGTTTTAGGATTAGTGAATAAGGAAAACCTATTCATAATGGAGGAGAATTTCAGGTGAAATATCTTAATACAGATTATATCGAATACGGCACTCATAAATAGAAAAGCTTTTTATTAGTTTACTTCTTATTAGGAATATTTCGCAATAGTTTATTTGATTACTTTGAATGAAATAATGATTCCATTAATTGAAAAGGTGCTTATTGTTTAAGATGGTATAAATAAAAACCTACTAAATAAGCAATTTATTTATTTTAAGAGTGAATTAGAATGATTAGTTCCTTGCAATCACTGATAATTTTATAAAAATACTTCTTTAATTTTTAGGTGTTTTGTACCTTGTTAGCAATGGAACATACACAGCGGCTTATCCTTTGCATGATGTAAGTGTATGGAAAAATTTTATTGATTTTTAAAATGAATATTTTTATTGATTCATTATAGTACATTGATCTTGAAGATTCAAAACTAATTGCAACTCATGATAAGTCTCATGGTTTTGGTGTACTGTACTAACAGTTTTTACTCTCAAACATTAAATAAAAATCGTAACTGATTTATTTATATAGCATTAAACTTTAAAAAATTAAATTTTCAAATTTTTGAAACGAAGTTCATTTTTATTTTTGTTATTTTTGTACGTATGTTAAATAAAGATTTGGTTTAATGTTAAATCCTGTAAACATAATATGATTTAAATAATAAATTCAAAAATCTATTCCTTCTTGTGCCGTAATAACATGAAACTAATACAATTCAACTCTTAGGATTTCGGATCACTTTAAGTAAGTAAGTAAAGCTTAATATCATAAATTCCAGCTCACAAAAATATCAAATTGCATAATGTTTGCAAATGAAATCAGAGAGTGAAAATTTAAAATAAATCAACTTGTTTTCGCCCACATAAACCTTTTTGATTACTTTGAATTTACCGGGGGTTGAGACATATCCGCACGTTCACTACTTTAAATGTGTCTCAAGAAATTTCAGTAAACTATGGAGATTTAAAATTTACTCCTTAATATGGATTAGGAATTTCAATACCCTGTCGATTTGTTTTTCTGTTCCTTTCAGTTAAAATAAGTGACTAAATGGCCAAAATACATTCGAAATTGGACCCTATAGCCCACGGGAAAAGGTTAAAAACTCTAAGTTATTCTAATGCGGTTCTTAAACTGGGAACTAGTAGGTTAAATGCAGTTTTCTGCAGTAATCCAGTTTCAAATTCTAATCGCGAAGCCAGAATTCGGAAGTTGTAGTTTTTTATTTGTTTTCACTTTATTTTCTCTTAGTTTTTATCTTTGTTGAACAGAGAAATTTCATAATATTGTAATGAATTAATTTATAGTGTTGTAATTAAAACAAAATAAATCCTCGTGCTATCCTTTTTAAGTCACAAGCTCCCGGCACATTATTATATAGAAGAAATTTTACTTTGGATATATACTTTTACTATGAAAATTAAATGTTAAAATTCATAAATAAATACTTTCTCGATCCGTAAATATAACATTAATTTAAATAATTAATAATTGCGATCATTTTTAGTTACAGTATTCTGCTTGTATAGATAGATGTATTTAAATGATCGGATTGAATATTTAACAATTAATTTCATTTCTGCCTATATCATTAGAAGAATTAAATTTTACAGATCGGTAGTCTGATAAAAACATTAGCATAGAAGTAAATAATTTTAGGCAATTTTTTGTTTTATTATTCTTTGTTATGTTATTCTATTTTATATAGCATTTAATTTTCTGTAGAAAATATCTACATAGATAGCTTTTCCCTACAGCTCCTTATATTTATATATACCGTGTATGATAATATATATATATATATGATAATTTAGAGGTTCGCTGTCGTGGCACGTTGATATAATTTAGCTAAGAACCGATTAGAGAAAATGAAACCAAATCCTTTTTTAGTCACGGCCGAGAAAAACTTTGGCGTAGATCTGACTGGAGCAAAAATCACAACTGGCTTCTTGGTTAAAACATCATTTTTATTTTGAAGAGAAAAATTCTTTTGAGAGACATTTCTGTTTAAATTGGTCCAACATTAGGAACACTCAAAAGGCCGCACAATTTCTATCTACTCAGTTTAAATTTTAGATTATAGAAGAGGAAGCTTGGCGAAGAGATGTGACTTTCTTTGCCAGACCAGGTAGGCAAAACAATTATACGTAATAAATGCGCTGGTATTTATAGCTCTGAAAGGTCTTTGATTTAATCGTGAGCAGCGATTAGGCTAAAGATTTTGCAGTGCAGAGACATTGCTGGGAAAATGTGACGCATGCTGTAGAGTGACGTAAAATGGTGCAAAGTTTATCCTCGAAATGAGGATGTGTTTAATTAAAAATTAGGAATTTTAATATCTATTGCCACTTTGTTCCAATTAAATTTAAAAATTTTATTTGGGGAGAATTGGCCGGTTATCTCTAAAACAATAAAAATATTACAGCCATAACTCTGTCAGTTGCAATCAATATGGCAACCAACCGTAGGCATGCTAGCATTATGTTTTAGATACATGTAACTTCTTTTCAATTTCCTAATATCCTTGCTTGACGCTAACCTGTTCACACTCAATCGACTTGATGCATATTTTTCTCGACACTAAGAGAGCGTAAATTTCGAATGATTCATTATTTAACTACCAAAAGAGGTAATCTGAGCCATTAAATTATTCAACTAGCTAATCGTTACGTTATTGCGTCATTCATAACTAATAACTATGTCATTCATAACATTTCCAAATTCTTAGCTAATTAACAATGTAAACTACCGCTATATAGTAACTGAATCGTCTGAGCCATCGAAAGATTTCGTTCGATCGAATTATTGAACATTCTCCAGCTCTATCAAAGTTTTATTTTTTAATTTGATAACTTACATTCTTTCGCTTTGGGCAATAAGAGATCGACATCAGTAATGCTTAAAGAAATATAAAATCATCGGAGGAAGGAACGTCATGGACAACATCAGACTGTGATTGAAAAATACATGAAAAGTTTGCGAAAAAAGATGGAGCAAGAGAACATTTAAAGAAGAGATTTATGGCAAGAATTAAAAAAAGGATCATTTCAATTTTCATTGAGATCACAATTTCATTGGAAGATTAGAAGTGAAAACAGATGAATTAAAGGATATTGTTATGAAGTGAGATACTATAGGTGACGCTGACGCGGCAAAAGAGTTACTTAGGTCTTGTAACTCATCGTGAGCAGACGCATATCTTGAAGCGTCAAAAGGGCTGAAATCCTGTATCCCCACTCTGGAATATGTATGTAGTATTAGTGTAGTGTGTTGTGTATTATCATCGTAGTAAATGTTGTGTGTGAACGGCGCTTAATCCTTGAAAAGTTACCGACCACAAAAGCATCTTGCAACTACACCTCTGGATACTTAGAGCTTTCATGATCACTCACCTACAGATATACTAAACGCTTGGGATACAGAGGAGTTGTGGAAAGTTTTTGATACAGCTTTACCAACGACGACTTCAAAGACTGACAGAACAATGAATTCGTATAGAGCACGAAGTGATAAATTTAGAAAATTAGAAAATATGAAACTTTCAGCAAATCTTCTCAGTAAAACTGTGGTCACAGCAACAAAATAATAAGCTATTTTATAACAGAAGAACGAAAATTTCATAGAAACTTGAAGCAAGACAATGCCTTGTAGATGTTCCTCTAAAGAGATAACATATTTACCATCCTTTGATTGAAAAAATATATTCTTTTGCATATTATTATCGGAGTGCGTGTGAGAAATAAAGCAAAACATGTTTATTCGTAAATTTTTATCGCATCGCAATTTTATTGCACAATACCTCTATTTGCTTGTGTTGAAATGATATTTTAGCCACGTTTCGTTTGGAAATTTGTTTCTAGGAAAGTGTCTTGATCGTTAGTTTGATATTACGTTTTTTTAATTTACCTAACATAGCTTTATTTATTATTAATCACGGCAGAATATACGTGATAAATTAATTATATGGGAAATTACATTAGATATTGAAATAACTATGAATCTAAGTTTTTAAGAAAATTTTCACAGCACAGTATATTGCGTATAAGTGAGAATGTAATTTATGATATTATATACATAAATGTATTAAATGAGCGTAGTTTTACTTCTGTAATATTAATTTTGGTCACAATTATCTTAATTATGGGACATTTATCTTGTTTTGAAGGGTCCATATGGAAAAGGTGCATTCAAAAGAGAAGAAGAAGAACCGAATGCAAGAAGGGTAGGAGAAAATTTATATAAATTATTTTACTAAACTACAGTATAGCCTCGATTATCAGAAATGACTGGGATCGAAATGGATTCTAGTACCCGGTTTTAACGAATAAAGTTTTCAAATGCCTATTACAGTACACTGTTTGTTTTCGAACGTTAAAGTATTACTTTAAATAAATAATTCTTTTAAGAATGAATTATTTTATTTCGATCTTAAATTTTTTGTTCATCAAAGCGAACAAATGAAGATGTTACACCTTTGATTTTTTATTTTCGCATATTATGAGCTGCATTCAGTGCTTTTGATCATTCACTATTCTTAAGCAATTGATAATTGTTAACCTTTCTTAATTTAAAAGCAAAATTCTTTCGCAATTTAAAGTCCATTATGAATAACAATACTTTCATAGAAAATATTTTTTCTTCCAAACCCAAAGACTAGTTGAATTAAAAGAAAAGAGACCCGTGTGAATACTTTAAGTGGAGGGTGAAATAAGTGACTTCAGAAAAAGTGATTATAAGAAGTTTTTAGATTTCAAGAACTAAATTACTAAGTAATGTAAAAAGAGCGATTTTCAGATTTCGAAGAATTTCTTTCAATAAAATATGTATTTTATTTCCCTGCTTTTGTCGTCATCTTTCCTGCCATCCGTCCAAAGAACTTTTTTTTATCAATAACTGAATATTCGGACAATCGAACTTGCACTCTATTGCATTCTGTTTTCTATTATTTATTGAATTACATTTTATTTAAAGAATAAATATTTTCATATTCATATTTGTTTATATTATTTTTCTATTCATTTTAACAACAGCTATTATACAGTGAGTGGGCAAGAGCAGCTTGTTGGTACAAACGGCAACCATTGGGACTTATACGGTGAGATAAATTAATTTTGATATAGTTTTTAAAAGTTTTGTAGTATGATTCTGTGTAAACTTTAATCACAGTTAGTGCTTTTATCTTAATGTCAATAAATAGCGAACAATTATTTTATTTATAACATTACTTCTACATTTCATTACTGTAAGTCAGAATGAATGTTTTATTACATTGCTTAAAATAGCAATGCTTTAACAATGTTTTCCATATTGGCCAAAGCTATCTTCTTTATGCTATTCACTATAAATATTCGCTCTCTTGCTTCCTATATGATATAAAATTATGGATACATTTTCATACTAGTAACTTGTACATACATCATAACTAAAAGTTTTAAAAGAAAAACTTGTTATTATTTCATTATAATTTATATAGGCAATTCAAATGTAATCAAATAAATTTTATTTCGCAGGCGCTATTTCGGAGAGAAGACTAGTTTGTACTTTGCTTGGCTGGGTTTCTACACAACCATGCTCATTCCAGCTGCTTTCCTAGGATTGTTGACGATGATTTATGGAGTTAGTACAATGAATAGTAACATTCCCAGGTAAGGATTTCATCCGTGTAACTTAGTATCTTGTCATCATGGTAGTTTGTAAAAAAGCAAATAAATTACACAAGAGGATAAACGCGTCGATCTTTCCTACTTATATGCAGATAATAACAATAGTACCCAGGAATATTTAAAACTATCTGAAAAATTCTGATAAAAGACATGGGATGCAAGAACAACCCTTTTGTGTTAACGAATGAATAAACCTCCACACATGTCACTTTTCTGAACTTAAAGTCGCAATTAGGAGACGGACTAAGTGCCTATTTTTCATCACGCATATTATGTACGTGTATTATTAAGTAGTTCAGTACTGATAAAAGAACAGATAGAACTGAGTTCTAGTAGCCCGCAGACTTGTAAATGTCATCTCAGGCTTAGTCGATTACATGCGGGCACTGGTACTGAGATTTACGAACGCTGATAGTCAACGATAGGCCTCAGCATACTTCATCAGTGATCTGTCAGATATTTTTTTCCAATGACGGGCACTTACCTATAACTGACTGGCCACTTCTAAGGCCAGAAGTGAAGGCCATTTTATTGTGGAGGCACCTAATGGGCGGCCACCGTTACCTCTTATAAAAGGACAGACAATTTTACATCCATGCCTTCTCCGGAATTCGAACCCGGGCCTTCAGTATCGCACAAAAGCATCTTGCAACTACACCTCTGGATCTCAGGTTTCTCTAATCATTATACCGTCTGGTCGGATCAGCTAAATCTAGTGTTGCTTTTTAGTGGTGATAAAGAAAGTCAGACTGAACTCAATACTTAATCTCTATCCATCGCCCGGTATAATTTGTACGGATTTTTCTTTTAGAGATATTTGAAGACCATGTATACGAAATTTTTATTGGCTTCAGTAGGGACTTGTTCCTATCAATAACATACCCGTTGATATGCTGGTAAAAGTGGAAAGAAATTTCAAACTTCGACTATCTCAATGTATGGACCAGAACGGAAACCACATTAATAATATTATTTTTAAACCGCAATAAAAACAAACTTTAAGTGTCTCTCTATAACTCGGAAAAAATTAAACTCATATCGCTTATACTATTTGTGTTATTCATTTTTTAAAATAAGGTAGTTTCCTTGCCGCACCCCTGTACTATAAAATTATTCTACATTTATTAATAGCCTTAAAAAATATCTGTTTTCCTAAAATTGTTCCAGAAAACGAAAGCTAATGCTATTTTCACTTTCGAATTTTTTTTCGAATTAGCGAAAAAAAAATATTGCTGTCGTACGGATTCGTAATAGATTGAATGCACACTTGTCCGATGATAGGTTAATAAATATTTATTTTATCAGAATAAAGACTTCAAAGTTTTAAATTTTCAGCAGAAATACTCGTACAGGTGTCACAGTATCACACAATGCAATCAGTAGTTACGTTTCAAACTCCTAAAAGCGTTAACCCCAATACAATGCAAAGGGCATCTAAAGAGAAAACTGGCAATAATAACTAAGCAACGCAGAGCAGACGCTCTCTTTTCGGCCTTAAAGATTTTTGAACCGGCCGCCGAGATATTTATATCAGTTTCTGCTTCTCGAAATTACTGAAGAGCAGTAAGAGGGTAGAATTACGGTTACAGCTAACATAGTGGGCAATTACATTTATTCAATTTCAATACATAATACTGTGAAACAGGGACCGGCCCAAAAAGTCGCCAAATAGTCGCCAATTATGCTCCGTTTGGCGATTTCTTGCCAAATTTGGCGGTCAAAACCGTTGTTATTCGGTGGTTCGGCGGTACCGCGAGATACTCATTTACTCAATGTTAAATGCACTTGCCCCTGTATTTTTACTTTCCCGGCATAGCTTTTTCCTAAAATTTGTTTCGCGTTACATTACACAGAAAAATACAGCAATTTCACATATAACTGCACTAAAATCATCAATCTACGTACAAAATCCGTAACAATGTTATCGTATATTTTTCGAAAGCAGGGAATACCTGAGTTTGCAAAATTCTATACATGTTTGAAAATATACTGCAATTAATATTTTATTGATACAAAGCGTGAATTCGGCTTTTTTATATTAGCAGCTACTATAAAACTTATAAATAAAAGTGTTATTCAAGCTTTACAGAAGTTTCGCTTTCCCAGGGCGTTTTATTTATATTTATTACTTCCTTTTATTTATGTGCCAACAGCATCATCTAACGTAAGTAACGTGCATACATTTGATTCATTAACAGAAGAGAAGTTTGCTTCAGTGTTCCCTATTCTTCCATTAAATTCCACACGGAAATTTTCAGATCATCTTGTTTCTAGCATATTCGAGAAAGTAATTTAGTATTTTCTTAACTTTTCTACCCTCTAACCGACTGAGTTTTCTCTAAAAAAGCTCAAATTTTCCAAAACTACCATGACTAAGAATTATTTTCTTGATTTTAATGCCAGAATGCCTGCTGCTTTATACCTGGATTTACGTACTTTTTATATATTACCGTAATTTCTTGGACATATTTCAAGATGCACGTAAATATACTTTCTTACAGACTCGTCCTTTTAGCATTAAACGGCTCCCCGCGCTGAAGTACATAACACCTTTCATAGCATTCTTTAAAATTCTTCTTAGGATAAATTGGAAAATTTCTGTTTTGCTTGCGGCTTATTTGTTATTTTGCACGGGCAATGGCAAAAGAAAATTATTATGGCAATTCCCATTTCGAAAATAGAGTCTTTTCTTTTTTCACCTGAAGGATAATTTCTCATTATATAAGAGCATGTAACTTTCCAATCTTCATGCTAATCTACAATTCCAAACTTCATTACTATCTAATTACACATAATTCCCTTTGCTGTGACGAATTTTCGTCTTCACATTAGACAAGAAGCAAGACTAAATTAAATGGTTTATTAGAAACTGCATTATGTAATACAACTAAAATTAACAAATACTAGCTACATGCGGGTTTCACTAAGTCCAGTATTTAAATATGCAAAACATTGGAATTTACTTTCAACGGCTAAAGGTAATTTGCTTGGACTGGATTCTAGCCCTCTGCGTTAAAAAATACAAATACCGCTCATTGCAGAGATAAGTCGACTGTAGGGTGACAGCCTCTGGTTTAATCTACAGGCTGGTTGCTAAAGTACGTTGCTTCTAAACTACGAATTAACTCGCTATTTAAATTCAGTCTAATTTGAATTCTGGTGTTGGTTGTTAAAAAAATAGAAGAAACAAGAAAAAATATTAAGTAACGCGGAAAAGAGTGACACAACTAATATAACTGGGTTTAAGAAATCCAACAATACATTTTTGCAGTTCTATTTTAGCAGAACCGCTTACGGCGATTCAGACATTACCGTCTTTTTCAGCTTTAACCGTAATACAAGAAAGAAAAAAAAATTCAAGAACGTGGTTGTAGCTAACGACTGCGCATTCCATAATGAAGAAGAGAAGAAAAATAACGAAAACAAACAAAGTAAATTGCGCTGTTTTAGGAAGTGAAATTGAAAGAAATGCCTATTTATAAATGGGTAGGAGAAAAGCGGTCAGAATTTGAACTATTGACTAATATAAAGAAATCTTTATTGATATGGGAAGCCTCGAGGGAAACTGTTATTCACCAATTTGATTTGGATTTGGCAGAAACAAAAATTGAGTTCGTGATTTGTAGACCAGTATTGCTGGACAATGTATAATTTATTTTTTAGGGCAAAGGATATAAGATTTTTATTCAGAGTTTTAAAGCTTGTTTGGTTTAACCAGTGTATCCCAAATTGAATTGACAAGGAATGCTGTAAATTCAGCAGTAATTCATGTTAGAAATCGAAAGAATAAGGCCTTTTTAATGTCAGATGCCATTTTTAACACATTTTTATTCGTTTTCCACACTTATGTTTGAAGAGAGAGAAATTGTATCAACTTTTGTTGAATATTATTAGTTGCGGTTGTTTTCTCAAACGATGATAATCCTGTAATGCTACAATGCGCTCAAGCTACTGCGAACTATGTTCGAATGGATTAAATTGCTGGTATTTTTGTCTAAAAATTCTTCCCTATTTGCGCCTGCTATATGCTAACGGATGTGTACTTTTCCCAAGCCAATAATATAAACCAGTTTTATTTTCAGTGCATTCTACGAAGGCAAATCCTTTTCCGACGTGTTGCATACCAATTACTTCGGAACCATTTTTTATAATTTTTGCCATGCATTTTTAAAATCAATTTTCTTCCTTTCAGTGCTTATCATAGTAACTGAGACTGCGTACAAAAGTGTATATCATGGTGTGATAAGTTATTTTACTCACGTTGATTTCTTTTAAATAAATAACCTTCTTTCGAATGTATTACAGGTAGAATGTAAGACACATATATAGATACAAATTTTGAAACTGTAGCTTTGGTGTTTTCTGCCTTTTCTTCATGTTTATAAATTCCTTTGATATTATCTTTAATCAGGCTATAAAGTAATATGAGATAATTCTGCAATGCAAGCATACCCACTTTTTATTGCAATTCGTAGAAGTTTTTTATAAATTAAAAATTAATCTATTTCCACCATTCTCCCAGCAGCATTAGTTTGCTTTGTTCTGGTTTTGGCATTTGTAGCTATATTTTAAGTTCCATCAATATTCCGATTTTTAATTAGTAACATTAGGTCAGATGATACTCGTGTAATAACCTCTTGATGTTCAAAGTACTAGCATTTTATTTTGCCATATTGCTAAAAGTCATTCTTCTTATGAGTCTTTTACACTAAATTCTCAAGGAGATTTCCAGTGTTAGATACAATTTTATAAATAATCAAACTTAGTTACGGTGAATCCGCAAATAATGAGTAACTGTTATTGTTGTGGCTGTTGATTAATGCTCACTTGTCTGACTTCAGCTCAAGCCAACGAAATTCCTCGTGACGAGAGCAAGATACGCCTGTCGTTGGCAATAACCTTGAGCACCTTACAGATGACAAGGCGATTTAGCTCAGTTCCTCCCCCAATTTTGATGGAGAACACCCCGGAGGGAGTGTCCG